ACAACGAATTGTTCAGCCTGGAACAGGGAAGACGAGAAGTGCGGGTGAATTTGTTTGGTTGAGGGCAACACAATATTCCTGATCCATCGTGGTTGTTGGTTCGGTACTCGCCCATCGCTAGTGGCGATGTGCCTCCCGTCCAGCCACTTAAACGGACGGTTTTCCTTGGCGTTTCGCCGCCACGAACCCTGTGGCGCCCACGTACACAAGGGTGTTTCCTGTGTTCCGCAGGATAAGAGGGTTTCATTAATGATAATCCTGGAAACTGGGGCCAATTAATAAAAATGTGAGGCTCATACTTAAATCGCACCCAAACGGTATATTTCAAGCCCGCCACATCATTCCACACACACCACGCAACAACACACCACACACACACACACACAAACCACACCACACACTCACATACACATCACACACACACACACACCACACACAACACACACACACACACACACACACACACACACACACACACACACACACACACACACACACACACAATAAACAAAATTTCATTCATAAAATAGTTATTACCTTTATAATCAAAACGTTCGTAACTTTTGCGTTCGACTCATTAAATAACATTTCATCCATGTTGCCACTGCAAAGTATAGATAAACTCACAAGATTTCAGATATCTCATTATTAACAATGAAGTGATTTACTGTTCCCTGTGTTGAGTGTCTGGATGTGTTTTTGACTGGGTAGCTGTCTGGACGCTGCAGTATAATCATATACGTATGGAATCCATCTCTGTTCATTCATATTATACTTTGTGGTTGATATCTCCATAATAATTGAACTACCATAGATATTTATAGCCATACCTTGGCAGTGACACGTCATATAGCCATACCTTGGCAGTGACATCGTCATATAGCCATACCTTGGCAGTGACATCGTCATATAGCCATACCCTGGCAGTGATACCGTCATATAGCCATACCTTGGCAGTGACACCGTCATATAGCCATACCCTGGCAGTGACACCGTCATATAGCCATACCCTGGCAGTGATACCGTCATATAGCCATACCTTGGCAGTGACACCGTCATATAGCCATACCCTGGCAGTGACACCGTCATATAGCCATACCCTTGCAGTGACACCGTCATATAGCCATACCTTGGCAGTGACACCGTCATATAGCCATACCCTGGCAGTGACACCGTCATATAGCCATACCTTGGCAGTGACACCGTCATATAGCCATACCCTGGCAGTGACACCGTCATATAGCCATACCCTGGCAGTGACACCGTCATATAGCCATACCCTGGCAGTGACACCGTCATATAGCCATACCCTGGCAGTGACACCGTCATATAGCCATACCCTGGCAGTGACACCGTCATACTAGTCATGATTCTGGTAACTTTCTCCATCAATAATGTTTTACTTAATCCTTTATTGATCGTAATTAGACCAGTTAACACTGGGTATATTAATATAGATTCCTGTCAGTAACGCAACATCTTGGATCTTGATACAAGGATCTACGCATTGCCTTAACTATAGACATGACTTAGACATGGCCTGGTGGTTAACGCTCTCGCTTCACACGGCGAGGGCCTGGGTTCGATTCCCAGCCAGAGTAGAAACATTGACTGTTTCTTTCCACCTGTTGTTATAAGTTCCCCATCAGTAATGGGTACCTGGTGTTAGTCGACTGGGTGGGCGACATCCTTGGGAACTGACTAAGGAGGCATGTCCTAGACGGCCGCGGGGGCTTGACCTCCGGAACTCTCTCCAGGTATCCAGGTACTTCCTGTGCCTTTGTCGAAGGCGACATCGCCTACGACTGCTTCACTTCACCTGTGCACAGTACATAAGCTCCTTCGCCGCACAGATGCTGTACTCTTATCAAGACTGATGGACTGATCACATCGATTCCGGCTGAGGGACTGAGTACCTCAAACTCCTTTTGATCTTCAACCGTTCTTCTCTATATTAGACTGAGGAAACCACTGGTTGACGAAACGGCATCCGCAATAAAGATACCCAAGTGATGTGTCTAGTTCATCGTCCTGTTGGATCTCTGAACCATTTCTACTTTCCATTTATGATATACTATAATAGATCGACTAGTTTTGACCTGCCCTCTGCTTCCTTCAAATTCGTTTGCTAAGTCTTTTATATCATTTGTTTTTATTTATTATTACTATATTCAGCGTGAAGTGGTAAACATGTTAAAGTTCCTACAGAGGCTCGGGGAATGGAAGTCAATTAGGGTCGATAAAAGGGAGGGGAGGTCAGGTCCAGTTTATTGGATCAGGAGCCTTCCAATGGAGTCAAGAAACTTACGTTGAGGGATCAATGATTTTTCAAGTTGATAAATTAGACACATGTGCAACTCTTGGGTATCTTTATTGAGGAAACGTTTCGCCACACATCTACAGATTTTTCAAGTTGTGTTTGAGAAGCCAATATTATATTCGAAAGAATAACTTTATGTTCCCAGTATTCTTTGTCAACAATTTGTTGATGACTGTGTCTGGCCCCATTCTTAAGCATGTTACACTCAGTCCTAATGCTGGTTACAACAACTAAGGATGATACGTTTCGCCCACCAGGGAGAAACGTATCCTCAATCAATCTCTTGTTAATAGCATACCTGGAGTATACCAGGAGAAGGTGCCATAGGTGCCTGTCTCATAACAAGTAATATGAACAGGAAGTCAGAGACAATTCAACCCTGCAGTTTCACACATGTAAGCTTACTTATTATGGCAGTAACATATAATAGTGAGAAATAACATTTGTGTGTTCAGTAATTACATCTACATGGCATAACACTTTAATAGGCTTGCTTTATAACACTTGACGACTTTTGAAAGAAAGCGAAGTTGTTACCCTCTATCATGCGGGTAACTACGACCACCTGACAACAGACTCTCACTTTAGGAAGAAAATATTAAAAGGACCACAAATATAAATCCTTTTATACCAACTATTTTTGTTTATGATGAAAGACTTGAGAGCATAGGGGTGTTTGGGAGTAGCCAAGTCTCCCATCATTCCCTGGCAGTGTTGGCGTCCCTTCTCCATGGTCAATTTATGTGTACTCAGGTAGAAGCACTCGTCCAGGACCTGTGTATATGGGTAAGGGCAGTACGGACCTGGAAAAAATACAGACTGCAGAAAGACGAAAAGAAATTCCTGAGATTATTGTGTATGATACGTGATTACACTAATCTTTTTCATATAACGAACTCCTCTGTTTCGTACAGCATAAACAAACAAGCGTTACAGTAGATGTCAAGGAAAATATATATATATATATTATATATATATATATATATATATATATAATATATATATATATATATATATATATACACACACAAACACTGATCTCTGGCTGAAGGAGACTCGAACCTACGAACCTTAGGACAAGGTTCGAGTCTCCTTCAGCCAGAGATCAGTGTTTGTGTATATTTCGCCTGCTCTCGCGAATTCCTTGCATATATATATATATATATATATATATATATATATATATATATATATATATATATATATATATATATATATATATATATATATATTCAATCGCAGACGGGCGATCTTAACTATGCAGGACAAGCCACGGTGCTCCCCGTGGCTTGTCCGCAATATATATATTTATATATATATATATATATATATTTATATTTTTATATATATATATTTATATAAATAAAATATTTCAAACCAATCGGCCGTTCATCCCGAGGCAGGGTAGGGACCCAAAAAAGAAAAAAAATAAAAAAAAAATATTTATATATTTAACCACATTTAACCTATCGGACAACCACGGTTTTCCCCGGGTTGCTAAGAATAAAATTTAATCATAAAAATATAAAATTTTTAAAAAATTTAAATAATATCAAACCCCCCCCCAGAGGCAGGGTTTGACCCAAAATTAGAAAATCCACAAGAAAATCCCTTTCCCAACCCCTTTTTTTAAATTTACCCCTACACCCCAAACTTATCAGGTTTTTAATATTAAATTAAAATTTAGAAATTAAATTTATAAAATAAAAAATTAAATTAATATAAATCCTTTAATATGATTTATATTTAATAATATATATAATATATAATTTTTAATTTATTTAAATTAATATTCACCTATATTAGTATATATATATATATATATATATATATATATATATATATTTATATATATTATAATATATATATATATATATATATATTATATATATATGTATTCTGTTTATTAATAAATGTTCACATAGAATATAAACTATAGGGGGGGTAGGAGAAGAAAATATTCAAACAGCTCGGGGGAGAACCTTGAGTTTTTCTGAGGTACGTTTATTGTCTTCTCTGAGGATGGGGCCCCCAGTCCAGTTATGAAGGTGGTCATTCCCAGATTCGTCTCTCAACCTGCGGGTGGGAGGACGCTTTCTGACCCTTTGCTCCTGCTTACACCTGGTGGCGAACCTTTGTACTACAGTACTCAAGTTTGGGGGGGATCGTCAGGGTAGAAGAGTAAACACGGTCTGTGTTGATTCATTCGCGGCTCTCTCAGTGGTTGCAAGATGCATGTCTTGATGCCTACCATTATTCGCGAGTCTACGGCATCCCCACTGAGGAATTATTGGTGTGGCTCTCAATGGGATGTCGAGGTTTTTGTAAAATTCGGGAAATGGCCGGCTTTTACTCTAAAATTGTGGAAGCTTTTCAAGAGAGGGGAAAAAGGCGGGTGAATTTAGCCCTAGAGGTATGCCTGCATGACGTCTCCACATACGTCACCTGGGTCAAAGTAAGGAAACGTGCCTTTCGAGGCGGAGGAGTATGTTATTCGGAAAGTTTTTGGTAGATACGGCACGGTACATGCAGCGACCAAGGGAGTGTGGAGGGAGGGCCATACGAGGGGCTCCCCGGGAAGGCTCCCGCACCTCAAGCTGACATTAAAAACAGCCGATTCCATCTTACGTTCATCTGGAACACTACAGGACCCAAGTTTTTGTTCACTATGCAGGCCAAGGAAAAACATGCAGGTTATGCAGCTCATTATGACCATATGGCTGCTCAGTATCCCGACGCCTGGTTGCACGCATCCGGGAACCTTCTCCCGTGGCCCTAAGAACCGAGGCCTTTTTATCTGGGGAATGGTCCCTCACCTGGGGCAAGGACCTAAGCTTTGGAGTGAGGAAGTACAACAAGAGGAGACCGCGGTCTATGGCGTGTGCCACCCTGTCGGTGGACACTACAAACGTGCCCACCCACCTGTGGGGGCCCACGGAGCCTGTGGGTTGTCACCGGAAAGTTTGCTGGAGAACGTGCTAAACGATCTCCCCGGATTGGGGCAGAGCATGCCCAGACGTTACACCGGGTGTCAAGAAGTGGTGAAGGATGATTCGCCAAATATGGGGGGACCTGGACGTGTCTACAATGACACGGCTGCATGAGGTGGTGGTGGAAGTCCACCAGGAGGCTTCGTCTGGTGAGGAGATTGTGTTGGAAGGTGGTTCCCCCAAACGGACGGCAGGAAGTGTCAGAGATGGACGAGGTCCTGACACCGGGACAGCGTCCAGGGAAGAAATTATGGTCGAAAATGGCTAGGCGCCTTTGAAGATGGGGGTTGTGGCAACGCCCAGCATATGGTGGGCACGGGGGGGTTTAAGGGGGGCCCTTGGGGAAATCAAAGGTCAAAGAAAGACCCACAAACATAGAGGGGAAAAACCTCCTTTTGTGAATTCAAGTGTGTTACCATCAAAGTAAATGGCCTGCGGGCAGAGTTTAAGTGTGTGTGGATGGAGTGGTTCTTGCGCAGGTAGCTGTGGACGTATGTTTCATACAGAACACAATTATAAGTTTGGGGCGAAGGGGTTACGGTTTTTTTAAAAGGCTATCGAATGTTTGTTAGCAGTTCTTTAAAATTAAAGGGGGGGGGGGTGCGATAGCGGTGAA